GGCTGGAGTGCAGTGGCATGATCTCAGCTCACTGCAACCTCTGCCTCCCGCATTCAAGCGATTCTTCTCCCTCTCAAGTAGCTGGGATTACAGGTATATGCCACCATACACAGCTAATTTTTATATTTTTAGTAGAGACAGGGTTTCTCCATGTATGGCAGGCTGGTCTCGAACTCCTGACCTCAGGTGATCTGCCCACCTTGGCCTCCCAAAGTGCTGGAATTACAGGTGTAAGCCACCACACCCGGCCTCTATCATTCTTTTGTTTTTGTTCTTTTTAAGTAGCCTACTACGATGTTTGGTGCAGTTGCTAAGGAAGGATTTCTGACTAGACTAGGAATGGAATTAAATTTCACATATTTTAAATAAAGCATGTACAGTAGTGTGCAGGAGAAGGTAAATATAAAAAATTAGTAAAGGTGTCTTATAAGAGGACAGATCATTTAATTCTTGACTTCGACAGAGAAGTGTAAGTTGTTATATGTGAAAGTAACTATAGAAGAATAGAAAGAGAATATATAGTTTTCAACCTCTTGAGGAAAAAAAGGATAAAGGAAACTTGGTAAAACTTACTAAAAACAGAAAGAGAAAACTATATCCAAGTTTAAATGAATGTACTGTGTTCAGATTTTTCTATTTGGGAACAGTGATTTGAATGTAACACATTTTCATGTATTTTCTAATCTTTCTCTTCCTCTTTACAAGGTGTAGAACCTTATATACATCAGAAAATGAAAATTAAAGACATTGGACAATGTGCTGTACAAGTCAGTGATCACCTAAAGCAGTCTCAAGAGGTAAAAATATTTTAGTAGTTAAAAAAAAAATTTGAGCATGTAATGCTTCTCTTGACTTATGCCCATTTTACCTTTATGTCCCATAATTGGCTTCTACCTTTTGTTGGCATTCTGTTTAATCTTTGTTTTGAAGCTATGCTCAGTTGAATTCCTGTTCTATTTTTTCAGTCCTCTCCACGTTATTCTTTCTCTGACATTCTTCTTTATACAATTTACCTATCTGCCCAATAATTTATCCTGGAGATGTCTGGCATGAGAGAGAAAGAATTCAGGAGTTTTTGAAACTGTTTTCAAATACATGAAAGTTGTCGTATGGAAGAAAAATAAGCTATTTTCTATACACTTTTGAGAGGTAGATCTAGAATCAACATATAGAAGCTACTGGGAGACAGATTTCAGCCCAATCTGAGGAGAAATTTTTAGCAATTGGAGCTTTCCAAGCATGGAATGATTTATTTCTGGAAGTAGTGAGTCCCTCACTAGTGCGATCAGTCAAGCATAGGCTGAACAAACCTCTTTGCAGGCTTGATGGAGGGGATTCAAACCTTGCAGGGTATGGGACCCTTAGTGCTTCTTCAATGCTGAGATTCTCTGGTTTTGCAGTCTGTTTTTCTTGCCATCTAAAAATATGTGCCTTGTTTTAGTGCCGTACACCACGTGGGAACTTTGAATAGTTAGCTTAACCCAAGAAACCAAATTTTAAGTCTTTGTTTAAATATTATCTGTTTGAACTTGAGAACGGTTGAGACATGACCTTTATGGATGTATACTAACAACCTTAGATATTCTTGTAGGAATAGGATCTGTAAAAGATTTTCAAAGTAAAGTGTCAGACTTACTTGAGGATAATTGGAAGCAGGGACCTGTGTTCAGATTCTGGCTCTGCCACTTTCTACGTTTAAAAGCTATGTACATCAGTTAACCTATGAGCTTCATTAGCTGTATCTTTAAAGTGATATTAATGCCATCCTTATGAGATTATTGCTAGTGGACAGCAAAAACAACAGATGAAAATGCCTACCTAGAGTCATGCCTATAGTATACTAGGTCTCAGGAAATAATTGAATTTGAGTAGGAAGTCGAATGAGGTAAATCCAAGGTAATGTTATTTTTAAATAATTATCATCACCTGAGATGATAATCTTTTGATGATAAAACATAGCAATGTGATGATCTGTGTTGTCTGTCAACTTGTACCTTCATTCTTTCTCTCAAGTCATTAGCTGATTGTGTATGTTCAGCCCTGAGTAACTGATTGTGTATGTTGAGTCCTCATTTTCTATGTTTGGTCTGTAAAAAGTTTCATATATTACATTTTCTCTTTGATATCTCCTTACAGGTAATTTCATTCTGTTAAAGTTCATCAACACACTGAGTTACTCTGATGTTGCACTAACATTATGCATCTTTCTAGCTTGGGTTTAGCATGTGTTTTAAAAGAAGAATATTGAGGTAGATGAAAAATGAAATGTCCTCCAAGGAGTGTGTTTGGCAGAGGCATTCCTGGAAACTTGGGGTGGGGCTATGTTGAGCACACACATAATGGCCTTTCCCTTCTGCTCAGGATCTCAGCAAAAACTCTTTGTGGAATTCCAGGAGCACCACCCTCAATAGGAACTCCCTGTGAGTATTTCCAAATGTTTATCTTTAAGAGTCTTTGGCTTCTTTTTTTTTTCAACTGGGTTAGGAACAAAGGTTTAATTTAGTCAGAAAGGGAGAAAAAAGAAATGTGTGTCAAATGACAATATTTTTCTTTTGTTAGCAGAATGAAAATGATTTCTTCTCCAAATTTTCCTATTTCTGGCAACAAGATCTCACCTGAGTGCCTTTTAAGAATATAACGAAACACATACTCCTACAACAAATTAAACATTTACCTTTTCAGTGTCAAAACACAAATGGAATAATGATTATCATATCTTTTTGGATAGATAAGATTATGAATTTGCATAAAAGAGTAGAAATAAATCTGTCTTGCTTAAAGAAACAGACTTAGACTGAACACCTGATTACATTTATTCTTTAATTTTAAAAATAATTATTTTTTCCTTAAATTTTTTCCTTTCAGTTTATAAGGCATATCTTTTTTATTTTTGGTTTCTCAGTAACATCCTACTCATTAATGTAGTAACTCTGAGAAAGACTGAGACAGAGAGGGAGAGGAAGTCAGGATGGAGAGAGAAAGAATAGAGAACTCACATGGTTATAGACATGAGTATCCTCATGGAATTTTATTAATATGTATTTAGAGAAATAAAATTTGAAGACAAACCAAGCAAAGATTATTCTATTTAATTTGTAGTATTTTTTGGACTTTTCTAGTTGCATCATCAAATTATTAATACAGGTAGAATTCAAAACCATCTGCTCTATGGAAGTGCCAATTGATACCCAGGAGGTAGAAGGCGACTTTCAGTTTGCGGTCAGCTCTATTAGAGATGGTCTTTCTCAAGAGTTCCCATCATGGACCCTGTGCAAGCCTGCCTCCAGACTTAAAGGACACATGACTTTCTTCTCCCAAAGTTTCAGTAGTTCGTGTTCATGCAGAGTAGTGGGTTATTGCAGCATGAAATTAAACAATAATCGTAATTGTACTTTCTTCCTTAAGGATCTTAAATACTGAAGATATTCTTTGAATGTATTTATTCAGACTTGCCTGTGGCCACCTGTGCATTTGAGCAGGGCAAGTAGCAATTTAAAGAGAACTAATTTCAGCCTGTGAACATTTAGGGGCCACGTGGGCTAATGAAACTGATTTGTAGGCTTGTCCAGAGACATTCACAGACTCATTTGTAGGCATCTGCTTTGCATAGTTCAGGAACCCTTCAGTTTAATTGATCCAGAACAACACAAACACAGTTACATCTTATATATGTAGTGTGATCACATAGCTAATTAAAAAAACAACAACTGCTTTTTAATTAGCTTAGAGTATACACAGTAAATGACTTACATACATATCTGGTGCTCGTTTTTCTATAAAAACACTTGCAGGGCTGAAAACTTTATTGATAAGATAGGGATAAGATGTAACTAATAATTCTCTTTTAAAATATGTATAGTCATGCATCAATTAACAGGGATACATTCTGAGAAGTATCATTAGGTGATTTCATCATTGCATAAACATAGAGTACATTTAAACAAACCTAGATGGACTAGCCTCCTACACACCTAGGCTATATAGTCTAGTTTATTGTTCCTAGGCTACAAACCTGTATAGCATGTTACTGTACTGACTACTGTAAGCAATGGTATTTGTTTATCTAAATACAAAAAGGTACAGTAAAAATACAGTATCAAAGATAAAAAAGGGTACAACCATACAGGATGCTTACAATGAATGGAGCTTGCAGGACTAGAAGCTTGCTCTGGGTGTCAGAGTGGATGAGTGGTGACAGAATGTGAGGGCCTAGGACATTACAAGACTGGAGATTTCATATGTACACTTAGGCTACACTAAATTTATACATTTTTTTCTTTTTTAAATAATCAATTAACCTTAGCTTTACTGTAACTTTTTAACTTTATAAACTTTAAATTTTAAAAAATCTTTTTGACTCTTTCACAATAATACTTAGCTTAAAACCCAAATACATTGTATAGCTGTACAAAAATGTTTTTTATATTCTTATTCTAGAAGGCTTTTTCTGTTTTTAAATTTATTTATTTATTTTTACTTCTTAAGAAAAAATATGAAGACACAATTACACACATTAAGCTAGGCCTACACGGGGTCACTGTCATCAATATCACTGTCTTTTGCCTCCACATCTTGTCCCACTGGAAGGTCTTCAGGGGCAAGAACATGATGGAGCCATCACCTCCTATGATAACAATGCCTTCTTCTGGATACCTCCTGAAAGACCTGCTAGAGGCTGTTTACAGTTAACTTAAAAAGAAAAGTAGAAGGAGTGCATGCTAAGAGAATGAAAAAGAGCATAGTATAATAAATACATAAACCAGTAACATAGTCATCCATCATGATCATCAAGTATTATGTACTGTACATAGTTGTATGTGCTATATTTTTATCTGACTGGCAGCACAGCAGGCTTATTTACACCAGCATAATCACAAACATGTAAGTAATGCATTATGCTGTGACATTATGATGGCTAAGACGTCCCTAGGTATTCAGAATTTTTCAGCTCCATTATAATCTATGGGATGGGATGGGCACACACAGTGGCTCATGCCTGTAATCACAGCACTTTGGGAGGCCAAGGTGGGCAGATCACCTGAGGTCAGGAGTTTGAGTACAGCCTGACCAATATGGTGAAACCCTGTCTCTTCTTAAAAAAAAAAAAAAAAAAAAAAAAAAAACCCAAAATTAGCTGGGCATGGTGGTGGGCGCCTTTAAATCTCAGCTACTTGGGAGGCTGAGACAGAATAATTACTTGAACCCAGGAGGCGGAGGTTGCAGTGAGTCGAGATCATACCACTGCGCTCCAGCCTGAGCAACAGAGTGAGGCTCCATCTCAATAAATAAATAAATTAATTAATTAATAATAAATAAATAATCTATGTGACCATTGTAATATATGCTGTCTATCATTGACCAAAACATCATTATGTAGTACATGACTGTGCATGTATTTTACATGTATATAAAATGTATACTCTGTGTTGTAACTGTTTCACATGCTGTTTCCTTTTTTTGATCATTGTAAGATCTAAACAACTTCATTTTTTTCAAACAGGCTGAAAAGTTCAAATGGAGTTGACAGTAAGTTTTTCTGTTTAAACATTTTATTTTTATTTTTTCATCCTTTTAATGCTGAGTTTCATTGTCCTGCTGATATTTTTGTCATTCTTGAAATTGTATTTATGATTTTTGTCTACCATACAATGTAGAAAGTTCAGTAGAAGAGTAGAAAGTTGAATATCTTTCTTCAGACAAATTGGGATTGATGTCTGGTTTAAAACTTTTTGAATGACCTGTTTCTGACTGTTGTTTCCCCATTTTCTGTGCGAATGAGGGTATAACCACTGAGCTCATTTTTACCTCTCACCAATTCTTACTGTCCTTTTGTTTTTTCACACATTGCCCATTAAGATCCATTTATGAGATTGTTATGTGGATGCCTTTTCCTGTATGGCTTTGGTAAGATCTGGGGCCCCAAATGGCTAAATAGGACTAGGTCATGTGAGACAGCTCCCTGATAAAGCCACTATAGTTACTCTCAAACTTTACTACAATTTACAAATTCCTTACCATATTCTTGAGCCCTTGATGTAAAGGCACCTTCATCTTCTGTGTTCTTGTTCCATCACATTTTCTTGGGTTTCCAGGACCCCCTTTGCAGTTGATTCCTTCTTCTCAGCCTACTAACAAGCTTAGGCTGTTTTCTATACAAAATAAAAAATAATCTTTTTCTTGATTTAGTGAGCTTTCAAGCATCTACCTCCAAATTAATAGAAAAAGCAATTAACATTTGATCTTCAGCCCATGGGGTGTGCCCCTCCACTTCCTGAAACTCCACTACAACTGCTGGCTCACATGACTCTTCTCAGTTCTCATTGAACTCATGGCATTCGGTATTGACCATTTTCCCTTTACGGCATCCGCTCTTTTCTATGTTTCCTTGAGGCTCTTCTTTGGATGTTCTACTTCTTTGTTGACTTACGTTTGGTCTTTCTGAGAGCCTCTTCCTTCATGCAAGCTAGAAATTTTAGTCATTTACAATCTCCTCCTCACCCCATTGCTCTTAGCCATTAACCTTGCCTTCTAACTCCGTCCCTCTGCCACCACTCCCCACCCCTACATTTTAAAAGCCATCTGTTTGGTCAACGCTATTGCTCCTGCCTTAAAACTACCGTCATTTATTTCTTGAAACAAAAAGTGTATACTTTATTTGCCCTTGAGTTTGTCTTGACATTCTGATTGGTTTCTCTCCTTTTAAACTTTTCTATGTTCTTATCAGAATTATCTTTATGAATGGTAAATCATCACTTAAGTAGAAGCATTCAATGGCTCCCTGTTACCCAAAGATGGACAGAAAACCCCTGAGTTTTTTCTCAACACTCCTGAAAGCTTGATATCAATCCAAATTTCCAGGCACAAAGGCATGATACCTTTCATTCATTATTTCTGCCTTGCAAAATATGACTGACCACATAGTAACACCTCCATGTGGAGGTCTAAAAGGTACCCCAAACAAAATGTTCCAGCATTGTCCTCATCTCAGGAAATGGTAACTCTGTCCTCCCAGTTCCTGAAGCTGAAGTCTTGCAATCATACTTGTCTTCCATTTTTTCACATCCCTACGTCCCATCTATCAGTAAACCTTTCAACATATATCAAGAATCTGATCCACATTGCTACTTCCACATAATGTCATTTTTAAGCAATCATAATCTCTTCGTTGGATTATAGTATGGCCTCTAAACTATTGCTCTCTAATAGTCTTTTTCCAGAAACAGCCAGAATAATCCTTTTATTTTATTTTATTTATTTTTTTATTTTTTTTTTATTTTTTTTTTATTTTTTTATTTTTTTATTTTTTTTTGAGACGGAGTTTCACTCTTGTTACCCAGGCTGGAGTGCAATGGCGCGACCTCGGCTCACCACAACCTCCGCCTCCCGGGTTCAGGCATTTCTCCTGCCTCAGCCTCCTTAGTAGCTGGGACTACAGGCACGCGCCACCATGCCCAGCTAATTTTTTGTATTTTTTTAGTTGAGACGGGGTTTCACCATGTTGACCAGGATGGTCTTGATCTCTTGACCTCGTGATCCACCCGCCTCGGCCTCCCAAAGTGCTGGGATTACAGGCTTGAGCCACCGCGCCCGGCCAGAATAATCCTTTTAAACTGAAAATTGAACTGAGTCACTCTTGCTCAAATGATATTCCTCCTCACTTGGCAAAAGCAAAGTTCAAAAACAGTCTACAATACCTTGTTGTTCTGCTTTCCAGCCACCCTCCAACCGCATTTCTCTCAGTGCATTCACTGTGGCTACAATCTCCTCCTTAAACATGACGAGCACGAACCTGCCCCAGGGAATTTGCACTTGCTGATACCTATCACTAGAATACTCTTCATTTATTCATATTGCTGTCCCCTCTCTTCCTTCAACTCTTTGCTCAAATTTCACATTATGAAAGAGGCTTTGCCTAACCATCCTATATCAAACATCAACTTTCCTATTCCCCATGCTTTCTAACTCTCTTAAGTTGATGTGTACACACACACACACACACACACACACAGGCAGACACACTACTATATGCACTATATATTTATTTATTGTCTATTTTCCTTGACTAGAATGTAACCAGAGACTTATCTGTTTTGATTACTGCTCTTCCTCTTGAGCATAGACCAGAGCCTGGCACATAGTAGGTATTCAATAAATGTATATTGAATAAATACGAATATGGTCTCACAGCTCCTTAACTAGTGAAGCCAGAACTGAAACTCAGCTTTATCAGACTGATACTCATACCCTTTAAGCATTTCACATGGTTTATTAAGGCCCTATCTTCCAGGTGGAATTAATGTGTTCCATAAACCATTGTATATGCCTTTATTACATATATTACTTAAACTGTATTGTGATTCTAGTTACCAGTCTCTTTCTTCTAATACATTTAATTTTCTATATGGTGGGAACCACATCTTACCCATATCTCTCATGAGTGGAATACTTTTTGTTTTTATTGATGACTTCAGAAAGGAACAGTCTTTTCTGCTGATCCTACTTTTTACCAGCACTCCCCAAAGGAAGTGATTCTCATTCCTTTCCTTATCCAGCAACAAAAAGCCAGACAGATCTGCAAAGTTGGGCTCATTATGCTGCTTATTCTACTAGATATAAAGCAGTTGCCATCATGAGACCAAAGTTCTCCACTTTAATTTTTATTTTTATGAAGTAGCAAAACTGTTGCAAGGGCTTTCTCTAGAGCCTTGTAATTTAGGACTGGAGCAGACAGAAGAGAATGAGTTAAACTTGGAAGAGGTTTTCCAACACATAGTCCTTGTGTAACCAAACAAATCTCTTGGTGCTATATTATCCACCCTCTTCTTTGTTTCCAATATATAGCTCTTAATGTGTTTTCATCATTTTGTTGTTATTTTAGGTCAGTGAAGTAGTCTGTTAATAACTTGGTATTAATACTGTCTTTTTGTGAGTACTGCATCTTGGTAGGGAGCTCAGAGAATCATGCTTCTGGGATGTCGTGAAGTATGATGGGCAGCGGAGTGCCTTCTGAAACCCAGAGGTGTAATTGGTTCAGAGGAAATCTATCTTTGAGGCTAATATTACCTGTCTTTATTCAATTCCCTATATAAATATGTTTGGAGATATTACATTGATGATTGGAAACTGTCAGGATACCATGCGCAATAATGTGGTTAAAAGATATTAGGCAAGCTTTTTTGAATACTGAGAAGCTATTCTGATTAACCTGTTCAATAATAACTTTGAAGTCAATATATTCATAAGCATGTATTTATCTCCAGCCACGTAATTAAAATGTCAATCTTCTCTCTAATTTCAGAGATCTCAGCCTCCTTAAAAAGCCCTCAAGAGCCTCACCATTATTCAGGTAGGATACATGTGCACACAGACATGTCAGCTGAGCTAAACATCTATACTTCCGCGTTTGTAAACAGAAACATTGACGAATTTCATGTTATTAACATGGCTCCCAACCTGAAAAGGTATTGTTCACCTTGATGGGAAGAACATTCCAATTTCTAACCTTGCCATTGACTTGGGAATATGAGTTTTCAGAATTTAAGAGAATTTGGATTTTTGCAAAATGTTTGCATTTCCAAGTTCCGAATTGCGAAGAAGAAAGATGACCTTGAGATCTAAAAATTATTTGCAAGCTCAAAGCCAGCCCCAAACCAGAGATCTCAATGTTTTGGACTGGGGAAAAGGCAGATCTGAAAGTAGTTATTTGAAAGGAGGGTTTTGTACTCTCACTGAGCCCTCAGCGACTATGATCACGGAATGAATGCCAACCCCACAGAGTGAGTTCAACAAAGATGTTATCAAACAGAGATGTCAAGGGTCTCGACTCTCTTAAGCAACATCACTTCACAGTGCTTCAGTTGTCTTTCCTTCAAAGTGGGAATAATTGTACTTGCCCTTCCTGAGGAACAGTCTGCCAAAGGGCTAGTTGAGAATTAAGAGGAAAACACTTTGAAATGCAAAGCAATATAAAAGCAACTGGACTTGTGCCATTGGGTGGTTTCTTGGGGGCCATTGGTCTCAGTGTTGCATGAGATAATACATGGGCAAGCCTTTTACCAATCTAAAGGTTGGTACATGAGTACAAGCTTATTGGTGCAGTAATTACTATTATAATTATATGAGGTTATTTGTTCAGGGTTTAGTAATAGACTGCCTTATCCTGAATTCTCCTTTGTAGTGAATAGAGTTGCAGTAGATTCCACACTCCTCAGTCCAGGCTCTTATAACTGGGTCTTTCAGCTCGGCAGTAATCTATTATTTTGACTCCAGCCATCAACTTAAGAAAGTCTCTAGTGAGAAATACTGTAACTCATATTGACTCTGAGCTGTTAGATTATGGCTTTTACCAGGAAAATGCAGATCACTTGCTTCTAATTAAAATCAGTCTTCAGCTCTCTCTGGAAAAAGAAGATGAACTGTGCGAAATGAACAGTAGGTGTCCCCACAGTCCACTGTGCTTTGGATTTGCTTTGGAAAGGAAAACCAAAGTCCACAGATTAAAATGCCATTTAAAAGAAAGTTACACATATGTATGGATTAGTATGTGATTTGGTATTCAGGAGAGTGGAGGTGATAGCCCTACCTCAGACCATGTGACATAATCTCATATTAAATGCCTCTAAAACTGGGATATCTTTCCTGTTTAAAGCACAGTTTATTTTTAAGACAGTATTATAGATTATATTTTTGATAATGGCAAAAATAAAGAGGTCTTTGAAATTAAATAGCATTATGTGAATATATTGATGTGGAGAGGCTTTCTGTAAATTCAGCCCACTGATGCATACTTAAAATAGAAAATCTGTTTTTGTTTGCAGCCATTGAAAGGAATAATTTAATGAGGCTTTCTCAGACCATACCATTTACACCAATCCAACTGTTTGGTGAGTAGCATTTCTACCTTCTTGAGGTTATGCCAGGACAGAGGCATCAAATCTGAGTGAATCAAAGGAGAAACCCTGTTGCATTATTTTAGCTGAAAATTTTGTTTTGTTGATAGTTGTAGTTTAGTGAGATTCATTTTCGAAAATGGAAACTCCTGTTAACTGTTAAGGTCAGCATTCAGGGACAAAATCTAATACTATGGGAATAAGACCTATAATGAGCAGCAGTTGGGAAGAAAGCAATAATGTTGCACCTGGCATTCACTGACTCAAGGCTGGAAGTAAGTAGGAAAGAAAAGAACAAGCCAACCATTTATAATAAGCACAGGAGAAAGCGATAAATGTCAATATGGTGCAAGCCAACAGGCATCTGAAGAGAAATGCTTTGTGTATTGTTTTTTGTTTGTTTGGTTTTGTGTACACTAATTGCTCTTACCTCAGACTGCAAATGTCATTTTAAAAGTCTGGAGAAGAAAAGAAAAACAAGCTCACGCTGGCTAAAGCTACCAAAATTTCTCTGTCTGGCAGGGTAAGGCATGAGCAAGTTGACAATATAGCAAGGGTCCCCAAACTGTCTTTGATATTGATGCTTCTCATACTGTTCACCTGGTGACAGACCAGGTTTGCTTCTGACTATTAATGCAGATGCCTTCTCCTTCCATTTGGCCCCATGGCTGGCTTTGCAAATCAGTAGCTCTGCTCTAAAGCCTCTAGGGATTTAGAACTCTAAGATGCTTCAGTGGCATTTATCTGGGCACCAAGAATAAAGATTTGAAAAGTTGTTACTGAGCATTACCTAGATGTATTTATTGGTGAGGAATTAGATGCAAGAGTGAGGGAATGGATTCTTTTCTTGGCAAACCAGTACAGCGTTCATTAAAAATACAAAACAAAACAAAAACGACTATTTGAAGGAAGCAAAGGTGTAAGGAGGACATGGAACACCAGCTGGGGCTGGACAGAAGTTGTATATAGATTACGTTGCTTTGTTAAGAAACATTAAACCGTGACTTAGTAGTATTTAGGTTCATTAGGAGTTTCTCCCTCTTCAACAGCCTAAAAGTGGAAGCTATGTAGCAGTTAAGTAGCATTTTGTGTCTAAAATCCTTTAAGTGGGATTGAGTTTGTATCTGAGGCTGTAATTCACTTTAGCCATGTTAGCCTATTTAATCTTTACAGCAGCCCAATGTAAATAGTATTTTCATTCCCATTTTTCTGATGGGGAAACCGAGGCTTTAAGTAACTTGTCCAAAGGGACAAAGGAAGGAGGGAGAGGCTCTGGGATATGACCTTGGCACTGTTTGACTCAGCTGAGTTAAACCATGCATTTTCAATGGACTAATATCACCCCCAGAAAAAGAAGTTTTTTCTTTTAATGGTCTAAAGCACAGATCTACATATAGCACATAAGCAGATATACAGAATATTTTTAATACAAATTGAGCTTGTAGTAAATCCAAGCTGAAATCCATCTGAAATCCAAATTGCTCCAAAGTCTGAAACTTTTTGAGTGCTAATATGATACCACAAGTGGAAAATTCCCACACCTGACCTCATGTGACAGGTCAGAGTCAAGATACTTTCAAAACTTTGTTTTATGCACAAGATTATTAAAAATTATTATATACAAGTACCGTTAGGCTATATGTATAAGGTGTATATGAAACATAAATAAATTTTCTGTTTGGACTTGGGTCCCATCCCCAATATACATCATTATGTATATGCAGATATTCCAAAAATCTGAAAAAATCTGACATTTGAAACACTTCTGGTCCTAAGCATTTTGGATAAGGGATATGCAACCTGTATTATGTCATGAGAAGAACAATTAGAAGAGAATGTCTAATTAGGCTCCTTAGGGGGATGATAATGAACAACACCATCAGATTAAACCATCTCTTTAAAAGTATTTGTCATTAGCAAAAGAAGCATGTCCTTACTACTTTGTTTTTGTCCAGTTATAGTCTACAGTAAGAAAAGCTTAATTCTTTTGTACGCTCTGATACTTTGTCCCTTCTCCTCTTCCCCATGTCTACTAGACAGTAAGTAACATGGAAACATGGCCAGATTCATGTCCTTATTCTGTTCTGTTCCCTGCTAGCCCCATTCTCCTCTGGTCATTTGGGTAACTGAACTGATTCTGCATTGATGTTTGGGATATTATCCAAGTCACAGTCATGGCAATCTTATTGAACTCCTCACCTTCACTTCTCTTTGCAGCAGGAGAAGAAATAACTGTCTACAGGTTGGAGGAGAGTTCCCCTTTAAACCTTGATATAAGCGTGTCCTCCTGGTCTCAGCGTGGGAGAGCTGCAATGATCCAGGTGTTGTCCCGAGAGGAGATGGATGGGGGCCTACGTAAAGCTATGAGAGTCGTCAGCACTTGGTCTGAGGATAACATTCTGAAGCCGGGACAGGTTTTCATTGTCAAGTCCTTTCTTCCTGAGGTTGTGCGGACATGGTGTAAGATCTTCCAGGAGAGCACTGTGCTTCATCTTTGCCTCAGGGTAAGTCTGAAACTCAGAGACCCATAGCCCAGAGGGACAAGTCAAAGGAAAGAGATCTGGCTACATCCTTATCTAAGGCCATTATCTTCAACCCAAAGGGAGCCTATTATTTTTTAGAGGTAGTATTGCTTTGTGGGACTTTTGCTTTTGGGACAGGCAGTGGTGGGAGCTGAATAAGGCTAAAAATCACATTCGGGTGGCCTATAGTAATTTCATGGTTATAGCTGTACAACAGTAAACCAATATTTTTATCAGTGCTTCCTATTTTGTAGGAAATTCAGCAACAGAGAGCTGCTCAGAAATTGATCTATACCTTCAACCAAGTGAAACCACAAACCATTCCCTACACACCAAGGTAAGAAAACATTGGCACCTTGGCCCTTTATTTTAAGTAGGAATTTCTATCTATCTCTTCTCAGCCCATAACTCATGAGAAATCATGTCCATGGGGAAATTCCACATGATCTTATTTTTGGATTCTTCCATAATTTCAGGACTGGCAAAAGGAGAATTAGAGATCCCAGGCATACCTTCCTGTTGATCACTGAACTAAGAGGTTCAGAGGCTGTACCTAACAGTTCAGTTATGTGAAACAGACAGACCTTGGGTGTTATTATTAATGTCCAGGGGAATTATGGCAGAAAAAATATTCTTATTGTAAGCATGGTCTCTTCCCCAAATATCTTATCGACAGTAGGAATTTTATAAGAATAAACTCTTGTTACTTTCACTTGAGTGTCTTCGTACACTTGCATTCATTTATTGAGACACACACAGGTCATAACTTGGTGCTGGACTTATAGTAAAACTTCATTCTTTCATTTATAAGGAACTTTATAGAGCACAGCAAGAAAAGTTGGGTCCAGCACTTATAAAAGAGTTGAAAAGTTGCCTCAAATAGAAGGGAGGTGGGTAAGCATGGAGAGAAAAATTCCCGATATTTGCATCCTGTCCCCTTCATAGAGAGGGCAAGGGCATGTGCATTGAGGCTGCATCATAGGTCATCTTTCCTGCTGATGACTGTTTAGTAAGGTAAGTCCCACTTTTGCTGTATTGTGGGGTGTCAATGGCCTCTTTTTCCTTAACAGGTTCCTGGAAGTTTTCTTAATCTATTGCCATTCAGCCAACCAGTGGTTGACCATTGAGAAGTATATGACAGGGGAGTTCCGGAAGTATAACAACAACAACGGTGATGAAATCACCCCCACCAACACCCTGGAGGAGCTGATGTTGGCTTTCTCTCACTGGACCTATGAGTACACTCGGGGAGAGCTGCTGGTTTTAGATTTGCAAGGTGATTGATGATGTAGGACTTGATACAACAAGCATGAGGAAAAGTGTAAAAAGATCTTGCAAGAACCAGAATGGGTAATATATGGAGTTGCTGTGTTTAGCCTTGAAGAGAGATGGGCATATTTATTTCAGAGACATTGTACAGTGATAATCATGGAATCTGCCATGTTATTTCCCACTTAGGTAGAGGGAAACATGTAAGCAGTTGATTATCTGTTTAAAATGTAAAGACATCTAAATTTTTGAGCAAAATGGGGAATGATTTTTGTAACACATTTTCCAGTTTTATGGCTTCACCTTAGTCTTATGTTAATATTTAGGCATGCATTTATATGCATAGGGACATTTGAATTCTGGGTGTTTTTCATGATTTTGAGCTCATTGCTTTAGCAATTTATAATTTAGCTTACTGTCTTTGCTGTGTCCCTTGTTATAACAGTCCATGAAAGTACACATCTGAGAGAGGCAACACAGCACACTCTTATTTAATGGAAGCCTTTGATCAGCACATCTCCTGACTATCAACACCTCACATGTGACTGATAATCCTGCGGCACAAAACAGAGTATCTTTAGCAGGCTTTCCTTGCAGGGGCAGAACACAATACGTATTAAGGCCAAAGTTTAGTCCTTAGGCTCACTGACTGGGGCTTTGGTTTTAAATCAGAGATTTAGCACAGGGAGTTTCATAGACGTTATCTCATTTAATCCTGGAAGCAGCACCTTGAGGTAAATATTATGGGAATTTAGTCCCAGAAAGTTTAAATAACATGCCCAAGGTTACACAGCTACTTAAGCTGTTCTTAAGATGTCCATGTTCTTTTCTTTTCACTGTTCTTGTATTTCTTATAAGAGTTTCATACGTAGAAGGTATAACTATCTTACGGTTTGTTTAAACAACTTGAGGCTTTTTCTTGTCCTCTCTGACTTTCCCAGCTCTCTGGTTCTGGGATTCTAGCTGAAAGCCAGGGTTGGAGGTTGGAGAATGTAGAGATAAGCAGACAGTCCTGAGGTATCATAAGCAATGTCCAGTAAGACTGCAAAGTCACTTGATTGAAACTTGTGTCACATGCTTAAGGATGTGACACAAATTTTTAAACTACATATAAGTGTATTTTTTAAAATGACATATAAGTGCTTCTGTCCTTTTAGATTTATGCTGCTCACAGAGTTGAATTATATTTCTAATTCAGTTCAAACCCAATATTTTAGGAAGCAATATAAACAAAGTTAAAATGACTGAGTTGATTCAGCTTTTAAACCAGCAAGTACTTGATCCATGTAAACCCAGAGCATTGTTGCCCAAGGCATCTATTTTTGTAGCTCAAATTGGAGAGAGGTTGATTGTTTTCATCTGCATTTGATGGTTTGTGCTTTGAGTTTTGGGTGGAGTTGTTTAAAAAGGAAAAACAGAAAAAACCAAAACAAAACAAAAAAACCAAAGAAAAACTTTAAGGAATTAATGATGACTCTTCAGTGTGTTTTGTATTCCACTTGAATAGGTTTTTGTTTAATGATGTTTATGTTTGGGGATTTTTATGTCTCTTAGTAATCCAAAGTGACATTAAACAGAACAAGTGCCGCGTTGACAGTCTTGAGGGAAAAAGAGAATTAACTTTATTCTTTTACTGGGCAATTATCTGAATTGCAGAAATAGGCCACTCCAAATAAAGCACTCCAAATAAACAATGTCAAAACATTGACCTTCAAAGAAGGGAAGAGTGGACATCATAGAATGAGTGTGATGAAATTTGAGATACTTATTGGAGAGTTTTGGCCAATTGGTTAGATCTGAATTTATGGAAGAATGTGAATCCTATAATAGTAATTATGAACAATTACACTACCCCTAGTACTAGGTAACACTTAACGACATTTGTGCCAGGCACTTGCCTAAAGGCGTACATGCATTATTATATTTAATCCAAACCAGGTTGAGAAGGGAAAATAGAATGTAATTTTAAAATCTCTTAATGTTTTTTGGTTCAGTTTTATATTATATTTATTTATATTTCTAGTCATTGGAGAGATGATGTCCATCATCTGGGTGGTGGAAGTGGAGACAGAGGCTCACTAGCAGCAGTTAGGAGGAGGAGCTCTGGAGTTGCAATGCCGGAGTCTGACTTCTGGCTCCACTGTGGATTAGCTGCATAACACGGAGGAGCAGTCACCTTGACTCCCACTTCCCTCATTTGTAAATAGGGAAAATAATATTAGGTGCTTAACACACAGAGTTGTTAAGGGGAAGAGCTGAGACAAGTTCCTGATACACAGCCTTCAGTAAATACTAGTTATTGTTGCTATTAGCATTAATCTCTGTGGGACTCTTTAATATGGAGGTTAATCTGCAGTTGCAGGGAGTCCGCCCTCAGCTGTGTGGCCCTGTTGGTGCTGCAGAGAGACTGCAGCCTCAGCCTCTATAGACGAAGGCCTTGCTCGGTGTGCTGTGGTTCTCTACTGCTTTGAGAGAAAGGAGTGTGAAACACTGGAGCAGTTTATTCTTTCAGTTTCTTTTCTTCTCTTCTTTGCTTTCTTCCAAGGGAGTGCCAGTAACTAACCCAGAAGCTGCTACACCAGGACAGAAACTGTACTCTAAGGAGAGACTTGACCAATTTCCAATCACTTGTAATTATGCTGAAGTTTTTTGGTCTTTGTCCACTTAAAAAATTTTACGTGTGAGGGCCTGAATCATCATCATTAAAATCCAATATTTAGTTCCCAGAAACAGAAATGAAAAACAATTGTATTTCAAATTACAGTGGTTTATAGTGTTTTTTAGCTCATTGTATTTTTCAATATTATTTTGGAGATATTAATATTAGTTCTTGGAGATACTAATTTTTTATTCAAGAAAGCAGTTTCCAGAATGTCAGCATTGGCATCGACATCATCATCATAAATTCTGCTACTACAAAAAAGTTAGCTTCTTTCCACCAATGTACAAGTTCAATTGATGTGCTCAAAGGTGGTTGGGATCAGAATGTCAATCTCTGAGTTTCTCATAAAGGTATGCTGCATATTACCTGACATGAGCCTTTACTCTCTTGAAGTCAGATTGGTACTTGGGGTTCTCCTTTCCTCCCTTCACCCCCTCTCTCCTTCCCTCCTTTCTTTTTCTTTCTTTTCTTCTTTTTTTTTCTTTTTTTGAGACAAGGTCTCACTGTGTAGCCAAGACTGGCTGGAGTGCTGTGGCACAATCGTGGCTCCCTGCAGCCTCGACCTCCTGGGCTCAAACGATCTTCCCACCTCAGCTTCCTGAGTAGCCGGCATCACAGGCACATGCTACCACACCTGGCTAATTCTTTGTATTTGTTTGTAGTGATGGGGTTTCACTATGTTGGCCAGGCTGGTTTCAAACTCCTGGACTCAAGGGATCTGCCTGTCTCAGCCTCCCAAAATGCTGTGATTATAGGCGTGAGCCACCGTGCCTGGCCTATTCTCTATTTTCAAACTTTGAAAGGTTCTTCTGCCATTTGTGTGCCCCAAAATATGTATTTATTAATCTTTGAATTGTCAGATTGGGTTTAGGGATATAAAGGTTTGTGGATACTCTTTACCGTCATTCTTATAAGGAGTTCTGTTCCTGAAGGAACATAGTACTTTAAGGAAATGAGATAATAATCAGAAACATGATTTTACCCCTGGTACGGAAATAAAATTTCACTTCACAAGAAGTCTTTGATAGAAGAAAAATAATGCAAACAACAGTGAACCTTTTTTCAGCTTCCTAGGGGTCAAGTACTTTGCTAAGCAGTTTGTGTCCAGTAGTTCATTTAATCCTCTCAGTAACTCAGTAAGATAAGGCCCATTATGATTCACACTTTCAGATGACAAAACTGAGGTTCAGAGAGATTAGGGAAGGTATCCAGGTCACACAGTTTTAAGCTCTAGGTTACTCTAGGTTATTTTTCTAAGGAAGTCAGTTTCATAGGGTAAAAGTCTATAAGGATTACATTTTCTTGTGGAAGGTTTAGCATATTGTAAAACATACAGAATATAGCAGAAATCTTTTTAAAACATACTGGCTAGAAAACATGAGTTTTTTTCAAGTAGAAATACATTAAAATTTACAAATTTTATATAATTTTAAAATAATCTTCCCACAAGGTTGTTTGTTTTCAAGCAAAGAGAAGCAGGGCTGATTAGAGAATGATCTCAGAAATCATTGGATTGTGCCCAGATCTTACTGGCTGGCCTGGGACATTTCCACCAATGGAAATCAGCTTCCTCACCATTTGCATTTTACAAGAGATTCATGTTAGGTGCTGATTCCTGTTTTGATATTTTTTAGCTTTACATTGCACCTATGTTACATTTTTAGGCTTTAATGTCATCCTTTATTCAAAGGTAAATTTTATTGAAGACATACACATTTAAAAAATTCACGTAGTATAAGCATATATCTCAAAGAATTTGACAACTGAATACACAAGTATAACCATCACCCAGATCAAGAATTTAGTGGTTTCTATTCTACTGTTTATAAGTAGGATAAAAGTATAAGTATGTGTCTCTTTGATGGAGCAGAGGTTATACCTGCAAAACCACACAGCACCATGCACCCTGCTGAGCACGGATGGAATCCATAGGGAGACCGTAGACCAATGGGAGGAACACAAACTTTGGCTCAGCATTTATCCTGTTATGACCATGTATGGACTGTGTAACCTCTGACAGATGACATAATTGGTTTGAACATCAGTGTACTCACTGATGTAAATGAGGGTAAAATGTAAAATGAGGCTATGAGGATAACACTTTCCTTTTATAATTGTGGAGAATTAGAGAAAATAAAATTAGAATATCTGGTATATACAAATGGTGAATGACAGATGCCACTATCAGTAACTGTGAACACACCACTAAAACAATCGTTTGTGGCCTAGAAGTTTATTATAACTGAGGGTTTGTGGGAAACAGTGCATTAACTAAAAATTTCAGACATATCTGAACGATTTTTATAGTGCATTTAGTTTACATGATTTTTTGAGAATTAAAATATTTAATTTTTTATATTTAGTTTTTATATATCTTTATATATTTAAGGGGTACAAGAGCAGATTTTTTTTACATGCTTTTTTTTTTTTTTGACATGGAATCTTGCTCTGTTGTCCAGGCTGGAGTGCAGTGATATGATCTCAGCTCACTGCAACCTCCATCTCTCAGGTTTGAGCAATTCTCCTGCCTCAGTCTCCCTAGTAGCTGGGATTATAGTCATGTGCCACCACACCTGGCTATTTTTTGTATTTTTAGTAGAGATGGGGTTTCACCATGTTGACCAGGCTGGTCTCGAACTCTTAATCTCAGGTGATCTGCCCACCTTAGCCTCCCAAAGTGCTGAGATTACAGGCGTGAGCCACCGTGCCAGGCCAGATTTTTTACATGCTAATATTGCTTAGTGGTGAAGTCTGGGCTCATGACATTTAATTTACTGTGGAGTGACTGTGGATTTTAAATTAAGAAATTAGAATTTAATTATTATTTTCTTGAATTTCTAAGAAAACGAAATCTCCATTTGCTAAACAAATTTTGTTTCTTCTTTTGAGGTGTTGGAGAAAATTTGACAGATCCATCTGTTATAAAACCTGAAGTCAAACAGTAAGTTAATTTATGTGTTATCATTTAGAAAATTGCATTTAACACATAGTAAATGGTTTTAAAAATAATTTACAAACATATATGTTCCCTGCCTAGATCCTAGAAAGGTTTTTAGGTAGCTTATGTATAGAGATCAAAAACAATAAGATTATAAAAAAGCATAGGTTAAGAAATGGTGGTAAAAAGAAGATATGGAAATATGTAAAATGATATTAAATCTGCAGTTAGAATTGTACACCTAAATGGAAATTATAAGGACTAATGCAAATATGACTGAGTTTCCAATGGGTAAGCTTAGCCTCTATGGCTTTGATATGAAAACAATGTCATAGGAGAAGCACAGTTTCCTTTGTTGTCTTCACAATGGAGTCATTGCATCTTATCATGGGCAGCATCTTCCATTGCATGCTTATAAAATGAAAGCTGAGGGCATAAAGTGTGCTATTTAGTAACAGCAAATTTTATGAGAGGACAAAGCAATGGAGTTTAAATATGAAGCATCAGATTGTCTGACTTAATAATTAAGAGCTGAAGTTTAAATTCTATAGAGGGATAACTCATCAACCTGTCCGTTGAATTCCCATCGGCGTTTTATCCCAGAAGCAGGCTTTTGAGAAGACTTGAGAGTAAAGGATCTCAGATTGTATTCTTCTATTAAAGGTGGGGTAGAACTAAATGATGGTGCAGGTTAAACTGGTCAATATGGCAGGCAACAGTGGTTCTCAAACATGAGCTTACATCACAATCACCAGGACAGTCTGCTAGAACACAGATTGCTGGGCCCCACCCCTAGAGTTTCTGCTTCAGTAGGTTTGGGGTGGGGCCAGATAATCTGCATTTCTTACAGGTTCCCAGGGAATTCTGATGCTGCTGGTCCAGAGACCACTCTTGAGAACTGCCAGCATACAACATTTTTACTTCTTAATTGTCTATACTTGGTCCCTGCGTGGTAGAAAAAATATATATAACTTTATAAGTGGACAGTCAATAAAATCTGAAATTTTTACTTTCCCTCCCCAAGGCCTCATAAATATTCACTGCTTTAGTGCTCTGTTATCTTACTGAGTGATTTAATCTAAATATGTAGGCTTCCATGCAAAGAGGTCCATCTAAAAGGGTATTAGATATTTAATTGGACTAGGTGAACTAGAGAAAATAAAGGTGACCCATATTGAATATACACATCTAATTCCTATGATATTTATTTGACTATGGAGTCCATGTCACAACCCTTATATATATAAAGCCTTTATTAGTTTTCACTTTAGCTCTGCTAAAGTGTTTTTTAGCTAAGAATATTATTTTTTCAGTAGCCCTGTGTGCCTAAGTGTTAATAGTAGGAATCTTATACTAAAAGTACTTTATAATTTTGCAGTGGAAGTTTTTTGCATATATAATGAACCAAGTTTATGTATACCCCATCTATCATTTATTATATTTTAACCTTGGCATATGTCATTTAATATGACCTGAATGTTCTATCATTTAGAACTCTAAGATTATATTATCCCACTTGACAGGTAGGTATTTAATTGCATGCTATAGGCCAGTGGGCCTCAATTTCTATTAAAGTCACCCAGGGAACTTAAAAAAAAATGCCAAGGATTGGCATCAAATTAGAATCTCTGAAGAGAAGGCCCTGATATCTGTATTTTTTAAAAGTTCCTCATGTGATTCTATGGGCAATCAGGGTTGAGAACCTCTGTCTTAACGGCAACTTTATTTTTTTATGATTTGAGGATAGGAACACCGGAAATGGATAGGATGGCTTCATTGTGGCCTGCCGGGTTTTATGGGGTTACTGAATTTGAATGCAGTTGGCCTTCATGGTCAAGATAAAGAAAAGTACTATTTTCTCACAGTCATGGGGAATTACATCTGATTAGTTCAATGGGGCTCACATTTCAAATGCTGTATGTGTCTGAAGCGCTTGCTACACGAAGCATGGGGTATGGACCAACAGTGTCAGCATCACAGGGACTGTGGTTAGACATGCAGAATCTCAGGACCCTCCCCAGACATACTGAACCAAAATCTGAATTTTCTCAAGATCCTCAGGTGATCTGGTGGGAAAATTAAAGTTTGGGAAGCACTGATTTAAGTAAGCGCTTTCACAGGTTGTTTATTTTAGCCTTTGCAACAGCAATGAAAGGAAGCATTTTCAACCCTAGTTCACAAATAAGAAAACCTAGGCAGAGTGAAGATGCGAACTTTCCTATGAGGAGGAGAGGTCAATGAAAGGATAATCCTCTACCAAAAGAGAAGATACTCTTGTGGCATAAATTCTTATGGTGTTTCTAATGCTTGTCTCTTAACTTTCCCTAACCTTCTATCTTGGTTATTGGTCATTTGTGATTACAGTGTTTCAGCTTGCTGATTTGATAGTTTTGGGCATTTGACAAGTATGAAATGATGATGAGATGTTCTTTAGTAAATCTATGTATAGATGGCACTAATTAGCGTTTCCTCGCATGTGGAACCAAGCTACCACCTGCTTTTCCTGTGTTGTGAAAAATCTGGAAAACAGCTACTTGTATTTTTTTTAAACCTGGTTATCTAAGACTGCAAGGCTCTAGGCGTGCTGTAGGGGGTAGATGCAAATGAATTTCCCTACAACTCTCCTTCATTCTCCCTTGCATAGGGAGTGGTCGAACTCCTGCTGTATGCATTTTGTAGTAATTTTGATTCTTTTGTCTTAACTTTCCCAAAGCTCATAGAGGGAAATCATTTAACTTAGAGCTTTTATCTCTAGAATCAATGTTGCATCTCTAAGTTGGGTTTTTTTATGTTTTACTGGGAAGAAAGAAATGGCAGGTATGGAAAGCAAATGAGTGAAATATTCTAACAGGGTCATGTTGGAGAGACTATAAAAAGGCATTCTTCAATTTAAACGACTAAAATAACACTGTATTTCACTTTACCAGCATAGTAGAATCCTGGTCTAAATACTGAGTGCTTCAACTTTTTTGCCACCTTCAGTTTCACCTTATTGAAGTGGTTCCTTACCAGATGGACAGAGAGAGAGGAATAGTTAACAAGAGGCAGCTTATGCAGCCGGGTAAATACCACCAGAGCTGTACTTTGTAAGAGCGATTGAGTGACCAGGAAAGTTAATCCTGGGTGTCTGTTCACTTTGTCTTCCCAAGAGATTTCCTCCACCTACCCGCCTCGGAGCAAAGAGGCAATCTGAGATCAAACTGACATCAGCCCTCATTGTGAGCTTGGCACATCTTCAGAGCAGCTACTGTTATTCTGCCAAAAGGAAGTGGAAATTGAGATAAATGTTTCAATCCTTGGATGGAAAAAAGTCCATTTTTACACCACGTCCCTTTTGAAAAACCGCATTCCTTAGAAGCGAAGTTTATTGTTTCCTTTCGTGATAGTTTGCTTTTCTTTTTTTTTAAAGACGTGGTATTTAAGAGTGGTAATTGAGTTCAGATTTTCTAAATGTGCTGTTTCCACTCTGCATGTCATTAAAATAAAATATTAGCTTTCATAAAGTTTCTTGGGAAATGTTTCTGCCATGCTCTGTTTTGTGGTGTGCAGTGTCAAAATCCAAATAATCATGATTGCATTTGTTATGATAACGGATGAACATTGATCTTAGAATCTGCTAGGGATTTATTATGATCATAGAGTATTCAAAAGGTGCCTTATATATGCTGGTTCTATTTGTAACTCTGTCACCTACATCGAGCATATGTACTTTACTTCCACCAACACATTGTGTAATAGTCTTGTCTTTCCACAAAAAGCCCAGCTGTAGCAGTTTGCAGGAGAGAAAGTGGCTTTGAAAGAGCCATGAATACGGATTTAGGGTTTAGTTGGGTATTTGTTTTTGAGGGCAGTTATTTTAAGAAAAGTATCTGGGTTTGAAACAATGTCTATGCATCTTTTTAGAAGGTGTGTCCCAAAATCAAATGTGTTTTACTTTGTATCTTACCTTTGGGTATTCTAGTAGAACATTTGGTAATGAATGTCACTCTTTCACCCCATGTGCATTAAAAAGGATTTCGGGCGTACTTTGTTTTAATGATACAAAATTCACTCTTCTATCAGATTAGCGTTGAAATGCGTTTCACAGTAGGTCTTGGAGTTGGGAACAAAGATTTAAGTGCATTTGAATTTTAAATTTGCAAACCTAACATTGTTGCTTCCCCAAAGTGCTCTGTTCTTTGTTGGCTCCTTCAAGTTTACTGGGTTACTATGGGATACTGTTCGGTATCTCAGAGAATCCTGGTTGAGCTCCTTTTTCTTAGCTGTGATCTAATTGATATTCTGATATTTCCTCTAGATCAAGAGGAATGGTGTTTGGACCGGCCAATTTGGGGGAAGATGCAATTAGAAACTTCATTGCAAAACATCATTGCAACTCCTGCTGCCGGAAGCTCAAACTCCCGGGTATGCCACCAACAATTCTATTTTTCTCTAAGTAAATCTCTCATAAAACAACATCCTTTGTAACCTGGGATAAAGTCGAAAATCTTAATCACATTTTTATTTCATTCACAGTCATTCACAGAGCCTGACTTTCTGACTGCAAAATTTTCAAGTCTCTAAAGGGATTAAAAGGACAGGGATTTACTTCAGGTTCTGCCAAAATGTGATAAAACAACATGGGGCCCAATACTTGTCACAGTCACTCCAAAGGAAAAGTTCCACCAGCTTAAATGGGATAAAATCAGACCGAGGCAGGTCTCTGCCCTTCCTGTTTGGGTCTTGCCAGCTGCCGATTGGCCCACAGCCTTTCTATTCTATTCTGATTCACCCATTGGGTACTTGGGAGGGTGTGGTATGGAGGGAAATGACACCCTCAATTAAAGTAGTGCTTTTCACTGTAAAAAATCTGCTACTTTAAAGACACATTGCAACATATATTTTTTAAAAATCTGATTTGATAATATGGCATACTTAAAAATTCCTCTATAAAAGCGAGAAGCTGGAGGCCTGTGCCCTCCAGATGGGCAGTCCCAGCTCTGTTGGCATTCCTTTCTTTTGTCCCAGAAGGGAAGCATCGTGTGTGCCTCAGCTTGCCCACTACTTTTGGTCACACCAAACTTGTCCTTACAGTGGGATTTTACATATTTTAAGCTGAGTAGCTCTTTATGCCTTATAATAAATGATCGTACCATCCATAGTAACCTGGGATGGGACAGGTGTAAATTTACAACAAACAAGGGTGATTTCTAATCCTATTGGAGTTAGAGGTAGGGGGAGCGCTTGTGGGCAAGGCATAGAAAGATGGAAACACAGAGTTGGAGCAGGCTTCCAGTTCCACTGGGAATATAGTGGTCAGCCAGGGGTGGGGAAAACAAAGGGAGCAGTCAAAGAAGCGAGGGCTGTAACTCTCACAGCTGCCCAGGACTCACTCTCACAACTCACGTACCAGACGTGGGCAAAGAGATTAGTACACAGTTGAGCTGCCCACTGGCTTCTCTGGTCAGAAGGTGCTCAGGAAGGGGCTGGGACTGGGCTGAGAGTCATCAGGACCTTCAGGTAAGGGCCGTCTGGGAGGCAGGAGCTAACAACGATCAGAGTCATTCCATGATGGTGGCCTGGAGTCCGGCTCATTCACTTGGTGTCCTCTGGTGCTGTCCTCTTCCCAGCTGATTCATTCCTACTCTGGAAGGGAGGCCTGCATTCTTGAAGACAGAAGGACTACATCTGAGGAGCCAGGACACAGGGAGACTTAAGACAGAACTCACTGCTTCCAGTCCTTGAGCTCAATTAGTGCTTCTGTCTGATTAAGGTTGAGATAATTTTTTACACCACACTGGTAGGCTTTTTTTTTTTTTTCCCCCTTTTGTTGCCCAGACGTAGTGGTGCAATCTCAGCTCACTGCAACCTCTGCCTCCCAGGTTCAAGCGATTCTCCTGCTTCAGGCTCCAGAGTAGCTGGGATTACAGGCACCCACCACCATGCCCAGCTAATTGAGAGTGATTATTGTCTCCAATTAAACAAAATAAATTTACAAAACTTATAAGGCACTGTGTGTAAGCAAGCAACCCAGTCTTTCTTCCCTGCCCCCAGAAACAGTGCCCAAACAGCACAGGGAAGGGAGAGCTGCACATGGGTTTTGGGGTGGGAAAGGAGGCTTAATTTGGACATGGTCAAGAGTTTGAGTTCCACATATCTATGATCTGAGGAAGAGGAGACCTCTCCGAACACTTGGCAAAGCCTAAAGTCCCATTTGTCTTCATGAACAGTATGTTCTTGGGGATCCACTATAACCTTTTTACTTGTCCTCCTTGCAGATTTAAAAAGAAATGACTATTCCCCTGAAGGGATAAATTCCACCTTTGGATTTGATATAAAAATAGAATCAGCTGAGGAGCCTCCAGCAACTATGAAAAGGGAGGAGCAAGAAGATCCCAGTGCCCGCCCTACCTGCCAAGAACTCTGTGATAACAAAGATTGATCGACGTGACATTGATTACATCAGCGCCTCCTTGGGACACACCTTCTGAGCCTCACCTCTCCTCCTACCCAAAGGCCTCATTGGTATATGATCAGTGGGTTCTCCTAGATACTGACCTCTGTCCAGGGCACTTGGCAGCTCCATCCTCAAGTTCCACATGAAGACACTTGGATGAGCCAGCTGGGAATATTGTTCTTGTATACCTCATTGCTTTAGCTGACCACTTGGAACCTTGGAGCAGAATGCTGCACATTAAAAAAGGATGGGGTGGTGGGGATGAATTTAGTTTATTTTCTCACTTTGTGTGCAGACTGGACCCCCTACTGCTATTTGTCACCTCACCCACAGACTGTCTTTATGTCTATATATATGTACATAAAAAGTTATGTGACTTCCTCTTCTGTTTTTTCCACAGCATAGGACTTTGAATAGCAGTGATAGGAAAAACAATGGAATGAGGGTGGATTTGCACAGATTGGAGCACAAACTAACCAAGTATCCTGGTGAAATCTAGGTGGGTTTGAGATGTTGTCAGTGAATCATATGATGCCTGGGTATTTCAGGTTTCTGTAAAGGAAAGGGAAATCTAAAACAAATAACCTTCATATGTATTTTTTTGAGACGGAGTTTCACTCTTTTTGCTCAGGCAGGAGTGCAATGACGTGATCTCTGCTCACTGCAACCTCCAGCTCCTGGGCTTAAGTGATTCTTGTGTTTCAGCCTCCTGAGTAGCTGAGACTGCAGGTGTGCACCACCATGCCCAGCTAATTTTGTATTTTTAGTAGTGATGGGGTTTCACCATGTTGGCCAGGCTGGTCTAGAACATCTGACCTCAGGTGATCCACCTGTCTTGGCCTCCCAAAGTGCAGGGATTATAGGCATGAGCCACCACGCCTGGCCTATTTTTTTTCTTTTAAACAAGAGAACAAGAATATGAAGAACTGGAAATTATTAGGAAAGGATTTCCCTTCCTTTTTAAAGCTCAGGGATACTATTAGTTAGGAGTTGACTAAGTCAGCCTGTAAAATACCACTTCCTTTTCCAAAGTTGTATATATAATATTGCAGGTTAAATTACTTTATACCAGGTCCTATGAAGAAAGATGTGGTTTCAGTCTGAAAACATGTTTCACAGGTGTTTGCTTCCTTCCAGGGCGGAGTTCCCCATTCCTCTGGGGTAAAGAATGTATATATATTTTGAAGTAAGGCTGAGAACATGTCATTGGTTTTTGATGCCCAAGGTGAAAGACTCCTGGAGGTCACACTGTGTAGTATATTTGAGGGATCAGTGATCCCTTTTGTATGCTGGGCCTGGTCACCCTACCTTGTAGAAGCACCAGCTTTTCACATGAGGAGAGATGGGGGGTGGGGCGGGAGTCGTCTCCCTGTCCTGTTGCATCGCCTTTCTTAATATAAGGTGCTCCACTCTACTGGCAGCAAACCTCCTGGGTTTGAAAAATTCAACTTATCTTTATCTTTAATTCTGACATTAGCTGGCTTGCTACACAGCTTGCTTTAAAAGTCTACACTCCCAGATTCTTAGGTATACAGGGAAATGTTGAATAGAAGGGTGGAAAACCAAGAATTTAAACCAAGAAAACTGATGGTTGTATCTGATTCTTGTAAGTTTGAGTTACACAAGGGCTAGTTTATACCCCTTTTACTTGGGTTTTGGGGGTAATGGAAAGTGGAAAATTTGGGTGATTTCTTGATTGGCAATTAGGATAAAATGCTAATGCTTTTTGGGGGGGCTTAACAACTTTATCCTATTCTACAAATCAGTAGAGGAACAATTGGTACTCACTTCAATGCTACATTCAGCTATGGAAAAAGGCAGAGTTTGCTTGCTCAATGGCCAAACTAAAGAAGTCAGTTATTCATTGGTCAAATATTTATTACCTGGAATGGAAGGAAATTGAAAGCAAATACATTTGGACTTCAAATTTCTGTGGTGTGCTTTTTGTGTTGTTTGTTTTAAGAAAAATCAACAGAATAACATATTTAAAAGATGAGCTGCTGAGCAAAAGTCATTGTGGAAATACTTGCATGCAAATACCAATGTGGCAATGTTGACTTTGAGTGATTCATGACCACAAAAGGGTGGAGTATTCATTCATTCAAACAATTGTATTCAACAGATATTAAGTGCTTTCTCTGTACTGCGTTAATGATGAGGATGTAGTGGTGAAGATGGCATGTTCTTCCCTCAGAAAGCTTTGTCTCATGTTTCGTTTTGTTTGTTTTGCTCCAAGTGTTGATTTGTAGCTAATACTAAAGAAATTTAACTTCTGGCCAAATGTTAAATTCAGAAATGCATTTCATATCCTATCTGCCAGTGGGCAGTAGGTTTGGACTGGGTAAGACAATTAGGCCAAATAAGAAGCCATAGCTGGGGCTGGTCTTAGAATCTACTAAGGAAAAGCAGACTGCATAATCCTTGTCTGAACACAAAGCCCTTATCACAGATGGGATCTGAATTTGACTTCAGCAACCAGAGAAGCAGCCATTCCAGAGAGACCTCCCCTGAAGACCTCCATTACATAGGAGTTTTTTACACAAGGCTGTATGGTCCTGGAGTGACTGCTGCCTCATGCTATCTTAAAGCTTCTTAGAGCTCTGGGTAATAGAATCAGATATAATTTTGGGTGTTTTTTGCTCTGTTATTATTTTCTGCAGTTTTGCAAAACAAATACTGATGACTAAGAATTCCCAGAAACCATTTAGTCAGTGCTTTCAAAGAAATTTTTTGAGTTGTTGTTACTCTTCTTTTAAATGAGACCTATTGCTCTGGTTCTAGAAATCATGACACAGATTCCCTTGTCTCTTGTTGTCCTTCTCAATTAGTCACCAACATCTAACACAAAGCTAGACACATAATATATTGCTTTCAACAATATTTGTTGAAAGAAAAAAATCTTCACCTAATAGTGGATTTCATTCACTAGGTAATAAATCAGATTTGCATTTTTAATCTAGAAGGAAATGATTACCAATTCCTTAAGACCCAACACAATTCTTTTGATCTTTCTCTGTTTTAATTTTCTAGGAAATAGGTTTTAACAACCTATACCTTGTCTATTGAATTCTCACCCAGTTCTTGCCCTTATCACCACTGGTGAGAATACCAGAGTGCAGTCCTTCACTGGTGACTATTGAAATGAGATGATAACTTCCCAGAAACTGCCTAGAAATAATCATCACTTTATTACCCTTTGAAAAGAAGATTGATAGAAAAGTCGTTTGAAAGATGGTTCATTACCATGCCCTAGTACAATTTCTTTACTCACATCTCTCTAAAGCATGAGAAAGGGAGGATTATTCTCTGAGGTCGGAATTTGTAGGCTGTGTGTTTGCCTCTTTGAAGTCTTGGTATTTAATTTTCTGTAGTCATTTCTTGGGCAATTTTCTAAGAAACTAGTTGAAGCTAATTTATCATAAGTTAAAGTCAAATGACAGAAAAGATTTTCCCCCTTAACAGCATTTTATTCCACAGTGGTTAGCTTCTGAAGGAAAATGAGACTTAAATAGCATTTCGAATCTCCAGCCACATGGGTGGGTACACAGAACAGAAAGGATTCTGGAAACCACACTGATTTTTTATTTAGCATGGTTATTATTTTGTGACTTTTCTTTATAGACGATGTAGAGATAAAATATTGCATTTTTGTGAAACACCCTCCTAAAAATAATTATGTAAGTTGCTGAATTTTTCAAAGAAAGACTTTCAATTCTCAAGGGATAACAAAACTTGGCCTCTATTGTTCTCAGGCTTTTAATATAACTTTATATAATTCATTTAACCTTTCTGTTAACCCCTAGTGCTGAAATGGAGATGAAGATACTTACCTTTTCAAATGAAGGTGAGTGATAATGAGAGATCATTTGTGAAGTTCTCTGAAAATTTCATTTAAAAGGCTTCTTGTGAGCATGGAATTCAGTTCAATAAATAAGGGGTTTTTGTTTTTGATATTATGTGATAGTTGTTTAATATTTACAGAGGATGCTCAGTGGACCTGTTTCAGCATAAACACAAAAGTGATTTCTGCTATTTCTCCCTTTCCAAGGGGAAAGAGCTCATTGCTCCCTTTTTGTTTTAAAACTTAATTAAATAGTTGAAGATGAGAAAACTCACCATTTCACAGTATGTCTTATTTTGCTTTTTGATGGATTTGGGTTTACTCAGCTAATTTCTTTTGCCATCCTTTCCCCAAAGAAAGCATTCCAGGAGAAAAAGTCCCAAGCTGGCACCATCATTGGTGGCATTTGAGGCATGAAGAGAGAGTTGGTTTAGAATCTTGATACTTATAAAACTTGAAGGTTTAAAAAATGTAATTAATGGTGATTTAAATTTTGTCAGTATTGGGCTGTTTAGGAATAAGAAAATTCTGGCCTATAACTTGCCAGCATCTGCTTTTAGCAACTGATTTTCTTTAGGATTTTCATCTTGTAGTGAATTTTTTCATTGTAACTTTAAAAAATTCCATCTGCTAACTTAGTCGCAAAGTCCTTCCCAATATTATAGTGGAGACTGTTTTGCTAATGGCTGTCCCAGTATGGACATAATAATTGCCTTTTGTTGGAGGGCTTTGGGGCAATCGCCAGTGATGTCACATGTCTGCACTTTGTCTTTGAATAAATCCTTTATTCTGTATCCTAATGGTCAACTTCCAACAGGTCACAGGACTTCAGGATGCTTTGGTGACCAAAAGAAACCCTCGGTATGTTGCCGTGTTTTACAATTCCCTCGTCACCCTGGAAATTTTGTTGATAAGGACTTGGGGAGCAGAGGTGCTGGTAAATACAATGGAGAGGAGGAGAAATGATTACCAGGTGTGTGCATCTGCTATGGGTGAGGTTAGAGAGTTGTCGTGGATGGTAGCAGGATTGGTGAATTATTTTCCTGAGAAAGTAGGGGAGTGGTGTGTTCTGGAAGATCACATGTATATTGCAGATGAAAACAAATATGGGCTGGGCTTCTTGGGATGGGATGTTTGCCTACCATGAAAGGGCTTCTGGGGATGTCTTACAAGATAGGGAGGAAAGAAGTTTTGTGGAATTGTTTGGTGTATATCCTACTTAAGAAATAATTTTTGAGTATTACGGCATTTATGCACTGACACTAAGATTAAACTTACTAGATAAGACCCACTTCTGTCTTTAGGGATCTCTAAAACAAATAAGGGGTTTACAATATGCTGATTCATCATTTCTCAGCCATGATCATTATAATGACAACTTGTTATTATTGTAGGTAATACGTATTGAGCAGTCATTGTGTCTTGGGCATTGTGCTAAATGTGCACTGTACATAATTTCATTTAATCTGAACAATGACTTCATGGGCTAGGTCTATTATTCTCATTATAAATATTTAAAAATACTGCTTATGAATTAAGTAACTTGACTAAATCAGCTACCAAAGGGAGAGCTGGGATTTGAAGCTAGATCAAATCAATGACATAAAAGTCTATGCAGTGCTAGCCAGGACACTTAAGAGTACTACAGCATGAATCCCTATGATGGATTGAAAGATAGATTTAAAAATAAGGGCCTAACTTAGGCCATCAGAAGAGAGAAACAAAATGAATTCTACAGAATGTTTCCTGATGTGTTCTCTGCTCCTGCCATGTTAATAAAATTTTTCTCGCATAGTTAATGGCAATCTGCGGACCCCGCGAGTCCATGGGAAAGCCAGTCATGAGGGAATGGGTGGGTTCTTCTGAGTCTGGCACCGTCAGCTGGTGAATTTTTCTGCCTCTATTTGAATGTCTGTCCCTCCCCTCCTTTTTTTTGGCCCCTTAGACAATTTGTTGGTCAATACAACAATACTTACCATTTGAAAGCATTTAGTGACATGCAGCATATCAAATTTATAGTGAAAAATAGAACCTATGCAAGTTACAAAACTTTTATCAGCCTGACCATCACACTGCGTCCCTGGAGGCTGTGGAAGCTGGATTATAATCAAGAGGTTGCTTGAAGTGCATGGAATCAGAACAAAGAGAGGTAGATAAATCAAATTTTTAATGGTATCAGGCTAAGACATCCTGTTTCATCTCATCTACTCTGGAGGGATGGGCCTGCCAGTGGGAGTGGAATACTCGAAGTCTGAAATACTTCAGACTGATTCCAAAGGATGCAACAGAATTTCAAGCAACTCTTAGATCAGTTTTGAGAAACATGAACCATGTTGAAAAAATATTTATTTTCTCTTTTTCCATTCTCTCCCACCTTCTTCCCTCTCTCTCACATTCTGTCTCTTTTTTTTCTCTTTCTCCTCCTTCCTTCTTTATTCCTTTTTTCTTTCTCTGATTCCCTCTTTATGTTACCTGTTTTTACACTACACTAGCTGCAAATGTGGATCAACAAACATCACTGATTTTATGAGATAGCAATTTTCCCAGAAATGTAAAATTAGAAAATGTGAGAGCTAAAAAAATAAGAACAATTAAATCTAAAGAAACTGTGCTTCACTCAAAGTTAATAACTATTGTTAGAAGAGAGACTAGAACTCAGGCCTCCTAAGTCACCCTTATTTAGTCTGGTAATGGCCACATTTGTATGTTAAAGCAAATAATTTCCTCTTGTATTGAAATTTTTGTCTTTCTAAAAAATATTCAGATATGTATACAGTTAAATTTTAAACTTGGAAATCTTTGTAAGACTGTGATTAAGATGGACCAACTGAGATTTTAATTGTCTATGTGTTTTAATGAGGATAATTCATTAGATATGTGACTTTAGAACTCTAGTTGCAAAATATTACAAATTAATGACTTTTACCAATTCTCTTTGCTTATTTGTGTGTGCCTGTGTGTGTGTGTGCCTGTGTGTGTGTGTGTGTGTGTGCGTGTGTGTGGTGTGTGTGTTTGTATATATATAAATAAAAAGCTACTTGGTTGGCCGGGCGTGGTGGCTCAAGCCTGTAATCCCAGCACTTTGGGAGGCCGAGGCGGGTGGATCACGAGGTCAAGAGATCGAGACCATCCTGGTTGACATGGTGAAACCCCGTCTCTACTAAAAATACAAAAAATTAGCTGGGCATGGTGGCACGTGCCTGTAATCCCAGCTACTCAGGAGGCTGAGGCAGGAGAATTGCCTGAACCCAATAGGCGGAGGTTGTGGTGAGCCGAGATTGCGCCATTGCACTCCAGCCTGGGTAACAAGAGCGAAACTGCGTCTCAAAAAAAAAAAAAAAAAAAAAAAAAAAAAA